ATGTTTGGCACAAAACAAGATTCACTAAATTTAAGAAGATGGAAATGAAAACACAATGACCCCAAAGCTATGGGGCATAGCCAAAGCAGTTCTAAGAGGGAAATGTATAGCAATACAGGTCTTCCTCAAGAAACAAGAAAATATGAAATAAACAATCTAATATTACACCTAAGGAACTAGGAAAAGAAGAACAAAGCTCAACGTACATAGAAAGGAAATAATAAAGATTGAGTGAAAATAAAATAGTCTAAATATTTTTAAAAAAAGGTAATTGCACTAAGAGCTGGTCCTTTGAAAAGAATAAAATTGTGGAATCTTTAGCCAGACTCATTAAGAAAAAAGGAGAGAGGGCCTTAAGAAATAAATGAGGAAAAGTGACAACCAAAACCATAGAAATACAAAAGATTATAAGGAAATACAACAAACAAGTTTATGCTAACAAATTGGACAAACTTGACGAAATGGATAAATTCATAGAAACATATAATCTTCCAAGGCTGAATCAGGAAGAAATGGAAAATCTGAACAGACTAATTACTGCTAAAGAATCAGCAATATGTCAACATAAGAAGCGTTCAAACCTGTGAAGAATTTTCTGAGTTTATTTGAGCCAGACTGTCCACAAATGTGGGGAAGCAAAACCTCAATGGATTGAGGTAACTCTCAGAAGAATGGCAGTTTTGCATCTTAATTTATACATTACAATAAAAAGAGAAGGCTTAATAAATGGGTTACATGAAATTCATTGGTGATAGATTAAGGAGGTGGGAGAAAGCAAAATGGGGAAATCTCTGGGGTTGGATAAAAAGTAAAATGATAGACATATACATCTTTTACATAGGTAGGTACAGGATAGTTAACAGTCAATGATTAACATGATGATTATAACAATGAGAGGATTTGTGGTTTCCACCCTGGTGCATAGGTTGTGCCTTGAGGGGTATGAAGAAAAAGAAAGGTTCCCCACATTCTAAAAGTATGTTATCTTAGATGTAAAAAGACAGTAGACTCCATTAAGGAAAATTGACCTTTGTCAGGGAAGATGCCAGCCTAGGACATGACCTGTCAAACACTGCTTTTAGTTAAAAACTTTAAATTTCAAACCATCCTTCGTGGTTACTTTAGGTCTTTTGAGTTTACAAAGTTGTCACGCAGGCCTTCTCTGAGCTTGTCAGGTTAGCCTGTGGCCCCTTTTTGTCCACGAATGAAAAAAACTCCCAACAAAAGCTCTGGACCAGTTGGCTTCATAGGTAAATTGTTCCAAACATTCAAAGAAGCATTAATAACTATCCTTCTGAAACGATTCCAAAAATTTGAAAAGGAGGGGAGGCTCCCAAACTATTTTTATGAGGCCAGCTTTACCCTGATACCAAAACCAGATACAGACATTACAAAAAATAAAAAAGGATATTATAGGCCACTATCTCCGATGAACATTGATGTAGAAATCCTCAACAGACTATTAAAAAACCAAATTCAGCAGTACATTAAACATATCATACACTATGATCAAGTGGGATTTGTCCCCAGGATGTTAGGTTGGTTCAATAATGCAAATCAATTAACACGATACACTGTATACACGTAATGAAGGATAAAAATCATATGACCATAATAATACATGAAGAAAAAGCCATTAATAACATCTAACCTCTACTTATGATAAAAACTCAGCAAAGTGGGGATAGAAGAAACATACCTTAACATAATAAAGGCCATATGAGACAAATCCACAACTAACATTATATTCAATGGTGAAATGCTGTTTTTTCTTTAAGATCAGAAACAAGACAGGGATGCCCATTTTTGCCACTTTTATTCAACATAGTATTGGAAGTCCTTAGCCAAAGCAATCAGACAAGAAGAAAGAAAGAAAAAAAAGAAATGAAAGGCATTTGAATTGGAAAGGAAGAAGTAAAACTGTCATTATTTGCAGATGACGTGATACTACAGGGTGAAGCAAAAGTAGGTTTACAGGTTGTTTCCTATGGAAAATAATACAGTAAGTAATTATACAAGAATAAACTCTGTTTTGTGTACTCACAATTGTAAACCTACTTATGCCCCACCCTGGAAATACAATAAACACTAAAGATCCCACAAAACTAATTAAACTTGGACTGATTGACAAGTTTAATCAAGTAGCAGAATATAAAATTAATATTTAGAATTGGATGCATTTTTATATACCAATAATGAACTATCAGAAAGAGAAATTAAGAAAACAAATCCCATTTATAATTATATAAAAAAATATTTAGGAAAACAATCAAACTTGAAGAACATACAAATAAATGGAAGGATATACTGTGCTCATGTATAGGAAGAATTAATGATCTTAAAAATGTTCATATGATTCAAAGCAATTGACAGATTTAATGCAATCTCTATTAAAAAAATGGTTTTTCACAGAACTAGAATAAATTTATATGGAACCACAAAATACCCTGAAGAGCCAAAGCAATCTTGAGGTAGAAGAACAAAGTTGGATGTATCACACTATCTGATATCAAGCTATGCTACAGGACTACACTATCTGATATCAAGCTATGCTACAGGACTACACTATCTGATATCAAGCTATGCTACAGGACTATAGTATAAAAAATATCATGGTACCAGCATAAAAACAGACACATACATAGGTCAATGGAACAGAATACAGAGTCTAGAAATAACCCCATGCTCATATGGTCAATTAATCTATGACAAAGGAGGCAAGAATATACAATGTGGTAAGGACAGTTTCTTCAGTAACTGGTGTTGGGAGACCTGGACAGATATATGCAGAGAAATGCAATTGCTTCTGTATATGTTGTAAGAAAGTGAGCCAAACTCAAAACAGATTAAAAACTTAAATGTAAGACCCAAAACTATAAAAATCCCAGAAGAAAACAGAGGCAGTAAACTCTTTGACATTACTCTTAGTAATATTTGTTTTGGAGATGTCTCCTTGGGCAAGGAAAACAAAAGAAAAAATAAACAAATGGGACTACAAAAAACTAAAGTTTTTTGAACAGGAAAGGAAATCAGCAAAATGAAAAGACAGCCTACTGAATGGGAGAACATGTTCACCAGTGATATATTACAAAGGGTGTTACTATTGAAAATATATAAGGAATTCATACAACTCAACATCAATAACCCCCACAAACAATCTGATTAAAAAAGTGGACAGAGGACGACTCGGGCCTCTCTTCAGCAGCAACATCAAGGGTAGTCAGAAGCCACACCCAGCATTTGGAAGAAAAAGTGATTCTCTTTCAACTGAATCCATTTCTGGAATTCTTGAACGATTTCTAAGGGAAGCTTGTAGAAGCTGCCTGTATGCTTGCATTCATGAACCCTTCCTCAGTCTTCCAAGTCCAAACTTCAACCTCTGATGCCATGGTCACATGTCCTTTTTCTCACTATGACTGGTCCTGCATTTGTCTTATAAGAGATTACACTGGGCCCAACCAATAATCCAGAATGATCTATTTTAAGATCCCAAACTTGATCCATCTGCAAAGTCCCTTATGCCATATAGAACCATATGTTCACAGGTTCTGAGAATTAGCGTGTGGATATCTTTCAAGGGGAATTATCCAACCCACCACCACGTATATAGAGTGCCAGTAGAATATAAAAGTAATAATAGAAGTTTGTGAACATAAAAAAAAGTTACGGTTACTCCTGAACGGTCTTCTTGCCATGCCCAAGAGAAGGGGTGGTGGTTTTGCCATTTTGTAGTTCCTAGTGTAATGCTTTGGTACATTCTAAATAGCAAAACCTTATTGAAAGAATAAATGAATGAAAATCTGTTTGCTTCTGTTAGAGCTCTTGACTATTCTGCAGACGTTTTCAAGGAGGCATTCCTTTTGCTAAAGGGTCGGGAATTTTAGGGGATACGCGAGTTATCGGATTCTAATGTGCCTGACCTTGTGATCACAGCAGCTGAGGAATGATATGTAAATCAACTGTGGGATTGTCCTCCCTGTTTTTTGTTTTTTTTAAACATTGTTTTCCTTTGATCTTCAAAAAGCATGGGAGAAAGTATAAGTTTCACTTTTCCAAATGGACAATAGAACAGTTGTACAAATGCAACCTGTTTCTAATTTCTTGCATTTTTTGATATGCCCAATATTTATTGAGTGTGTGCATTATACCAGTGTGCTGAATACCACCACCAGTATGTGACAAAAGTCCACAAACCTCAAAAGCAAATCTTGTTTTGTATTAGTATGGATGAAAGTTATTTTCAGAGTTATAGAGTAAGTTTTCTTTTTCTTTTTTTTTTAATCCTCACCCAAGGACATTTTTTCTTTTTTGTTCAGATAGAGAAGGAGGAAGAGAGAGGGAGGGAGGGAGGGAGGGAGGGAGGGAGAGAGAAACATCGACATGAAAGGTACACATCAAGTGGCTGCCACCCGCACGACCCAACCAGGGCCGGGGACAAACTGCTACCGAGGTACGTGCCTATAGCGGGAACCGAACCCGGGTCTCTCTGGACCATAGGCCAATGCTCTAACCGCTGAGCCAAACCGGCCAGGGCTAGAGTAAGTTTTCAAAAGTTGGATTCTTCTGGCTCCTCATACACCCAAGAGGAACCCTGTACGTATTGTGTAGAGCACATTGGCTAAAGTGTCAGTTGCATTGTGTGGGGGGAACATAATAGTATAGTTTTTGAGTTTGGTCCTGTGCATCCTCCTACTTTGAATTGTCTTTTGTGGGATTCCTTCTCTTAGTCTTCTTACGTTGACAGGAAATCATACATGTCAATGCGCAGATGGGCTGCCTGGTTTGTTCTGCCCAGTTTTGTAGTTTCAGTCCATCCCTGCCCCACTACCCCACCAAAGGGAGTATGTGGGATGGACCAAGATGAGCCCGAGTTCAAACATGTCCCCTCCTCCAAAAGCAGTGCCTTCGTCTCCAGACCCTGATGATACAATCATGCTCATGTGACATTTCCCATTTGTATCCTTATTTGAAATATAACTTGTGTGTGTTTTTATTCCTAGGTCCATGTACTTTTATTTACACATCATATGTCTCCTGATAATACTATTTCTGCCCATCAGACCACATACTCATATTCAAAGGCAGCCTCAGAACTCGGTCAATAAGAAGAAAACAGATTGATATCTCCAGGAAGAGCTGGATATGGAAAACTGCAAAATATTGGAAAGATGAGATGAAAAGGCTCAAGGGTTCTTCAGTGACTTAGAGGGGATGTTTACATGCTTTTTTTTTTTTTTTAATAAAAGTGCAGGGAGTATTTTTATAAAGCCCTTTTGTACGGCTAAACCAGCCACGTCCAGTTGGTGTGTTTTAGTATCTTATGGGACGCGGAGTGGTGTGGAGGTGCATGGAGAACACGCTTCAGTTGCAGAAGCGGTCCATGCCGGGCTGCTGGGTCTTCGCTCTTCTGGCATGATTTTCAGCCACTGAAATGTGGGGGTTGGCACCTGCACATCTGCTCCAGGAGGGGACTGCTGAGACTTGTCCTAGGTGTCTTCAACTAGAACATACCACCTGTGGTTGGTTCCTTGGGAAGCCCCAAATCATTTGACTTGTGACATGACCGTTTCGAACACAATGACTACTCGAGGACCGTGGAGGAGCAGGGTCAGGGAGCGTGTTTTTCAGGTACTGAAAACGGTACGAGCCAGGAGGACTCACCGTGAACACTTGAATGGACTGAAAGCCAGCCATGCCCTGAAGTAGGCTGCATTTTCTTCCAGGGATGTATCTCTTCCCTGTTTTCTTCTGAACTGAGCCAAGAGTATGAATCAGAAAGTCTCGTGTGCACACACACCAGGAGTCCAGGAGGGGCTGCTGTTCCCAGATCTTTTCCCATTTCACACACGCCCCTGGCTTGTCCAGGGGTGGCCCCAAGAAAACTGCCCCGAGTTCACACCATCAAAGGCAGAAAAAGTGTCTTCTAAAGAAGAAATTTTTTAAAAGAGTAATTTAAAGTTATAGAGAAGTTTGGTAAAAGAAGATACTTTGCCCTTTTCTGCACTCATTTCACAGAGGTGTTAATATCCGTGGCTATGACGGGCTGACTTTAATTTTTCCAGTTTCAGAGCTGATTAGATCTGACTCTATATTAGTTGAACTATCCTATTGGAAAGCAAGGACCGTAAGACAGTTTTCTATCTTTGTGATGAATGTGCTGTGGCTCCCTCTGGAGACTTCTATTGGGTAATATTCTACATGGGAGACTTCTATTCTACGTGGGAGAAAGAAACACTGTATTAAATGTTGTGGAAAATGATGATGATGATGATAAATTATATGCTACAATAGTGTGTCCTCAATCAAATGACTTGGGAGGAGAGAATTTGTTCAAATTGATGGTTAAAAATTAGTTTCTTACTGAATAAAAACTGTTCTATAAAAGACGTATTTCTGAACAGAAGAATTGCTTTTTGTTTGTATTAGTAGAGACTTGATATTCTGAAGTGTGTGTGTGTGTATTTTAACAAATGTGCACAAGGTTGGGGCTGTTTATATTGCCTTAGAGATCCAATTTGTCCTAAATACAACAGTCACTTAATAAATATGTATTTATTAATTTGAGATTCCAGTTTCCAAGAAATACATTTTATAGTTTTGTTTTTGAAAAAGCCAAATTTAAAATATTCTATTTTAGCCCTGGCCGGTTTGGTTCAGCAGTTGGAGCATTGGCCCTTGGACCAAAGGGTCGTGGGTTTGATTTCCAGTCAAGGGCACATACCTAGGTTGCAGGTTCCATCCCATGCCCCAATCAGGGTCATGTGGGAGGCAGCTGATCAATGTGTCTGTCTCACATCTCTCTCCCCGCCCCCCCCCCCTTCCACTCGATCAAAACAAAACAAAAAAAATCAATGGAAAAATATACTCAGGTGAGAATTAAAAATATGTATATATTTTAGTTTTGTTGTTGATTTTTTACTGCTTAAGGTAACCATAGGGAATAGGAACATTATTTTGTAGATGCAAAAAGCAATAAATAATTCAGTCTGAGATGTTTACTGGTTAAGTGAGGAAAAGGGGGAAACTGGGAGGTGAGGAGAGGGGCTGGCGGGAGCCCTCCATTACTGTGCAGGCCCTGGGCGGTGAGCAGTGGCCTTCCTGGGCAGGCTTTCTCCACCCTGGTGTACAGTACAACCACATAGGAACACTTAAAGATCTTTGATTGATGCCAGCCCTTTGAGGGATCACATCCCATTTCTCTTCTTGTCTCTAGCCCCTGGCATAGTGCCTGGCTATAATGAAGATTCAGTAAGTGTTTGTTGATGAAGGAGGGAGTGAATGAATTAGTTTAATGCATCATTGCACTTGACAGTTTTGCTGGAGTCATTTTGCACTGGGCATCATCTTTTCTGCTTTTCAGAATTAGTTTTTGAAATGAAGGCTTGTGTTTTTAGGGAATTCTGAAAGCACATTATGTGAAATACCCACTCAGGCAGTTAATTTACATATTCTGAACTGCCCTGGTTCGTCCAACCATTCATTAATGCATTCACTTATTTATCAAATGTTATCGTGCCTGGTGTGGGCCTGGCATTCTGTTAGTGCAGGTAAAAGATGCTAAAGACTCTTTTTGTGCTATCAAAGAGCTTACAGTTTGAGCAGAAAGACATGACCCAGAGCGTGTGCTGTAGGAATGTCTGGAGAACCGTAGCATCAGAATTACACAGTGATTGGTCGGCATACCCTTGTTTGCCTGTACGTAGGTATCTGTCTCATTTTACAGTGTCTGCAGTTTACCCAGGAGAGCAACATCACTGCCCTCCAGCCCCATGTCCAGGACTTTACGGGTAAGCCTTTCCCTGTTCTGAAATTGGATGCTGACCTTGCAACATGTCAGTACCAGTTCACGCAGCAGCTGCCCAGAGGAGCAAGCTGCGCTTTCACGGGTGGCCCACAGAGGTAGTCAGGTGGCTGCCTCTCCAGGAGGATCTTTAGTGAAGCTTCCAGGCTCAGTGAATGACTTCATGAGGCCCATAGGAAAGGTATTTGCTGAAGATGGCCCAGTCCACATGAGCTTTGTCTACCCACCAGATACTAAAACAAAGACAACCAGCTGTCATTGACAGTCCATTCACATGCATGACCAAATGCAGTCTGTGAACTTGGCACTACTGTCCACTTCATGCAAATGTGGAAGCCAGGGTTCAGAGACTTGAACTTTGCCAAGGCCACTCAGATAGTCAGTGGAGGAGCTGGAGTTTGAATCCTGGTCTGGCTCACTCCGAAATCCCCTCACTGCCTGGTGCAGCACTTGTTTTTGGAAAAGCAAGGAGTTGTATAGCTGAGTCTCTACAACGTACCTGGTCCAGGCCTATGGTTCCGAAATGCTGACTGGCTGGCCCTGTCACTTGGGGAGCTTGTTAAGTATGCAAGGAGCAGGGAACTAGAGCTGCTGTTGAACATGCTGACTGCCGCTGCTTCCATCTATGGGGAGCAGCAGAGTTCCCATCAATGGAGCACAGTGGTAACCTTGTGCTTACCCTAGCTGGTTAGGAGGAGATCAAAGTGGTGGGATGGGAGCTAAGCTAAATCGTTTGGTTCTGTTCAAGAGGAGGTATTTTGATGCTTCTTGTCAGTGCTTGTTCTCCTAAAAGACCTTTTGTTTAGTCGGGTCCTTAGCACATTTTGAACTATGCAAAGGTGGGGCTAGTACTTGGTGTACGTTATGGGAGCAAACTGCTTTGCTAGGGAAATGAGCAGGACATTGGGGGAATTAGGCATGCTACTCAGGAGCAGGAGGAGACCGCAGCAATTGAATGCCTGTGGAGAAGGAATTCCTAGAAAGTGGACTGGTCAGGGTGACCTTTAAGAACAGGAAGGTGGAAATGAATGCTGTAGGGAGACCTCGGGTCAAGACGGTGGAGTAGGTAAATGCTGTGCTCGCCCCCTCCACATGGCTACATCAAAATTACAACTAAATTATAGAACCACCATCATTGAGAACCACCTGGAGACTAGCAGAAGTCCTATAACTAAGGACATAGAGAAGCAGCCACAAAGAGACTGATAGAAGGGATAGAGATGCAAAACAGGCAGGTCCCACACCCAGTGTGAGATTAAGAATTGGGAGGGACATCTCACCCGTGGAGGTCCCCTCATGTGGAGTGAGGGGTACCAGCCCTATATCAGGGTCCCCAGCCTGGGGCACCAGTGCTGGGAAGAGAAATCCCCGTAACATTTGGCTGTGAAAACCTGCGAGGATTGCATCTGAGTGAGAGGGAGGGCTGCTAGAGTCCCAGGTGTCTGTCTTGAGGGGCCCATGCATGGGGCTTGCTTGCTCAGAACTCACTTGCTCTGGGCTCCAGTGCAGGAGTAGCAGCTTGAAAAGTTTCAGGAACATACTGGGAGGAACTGAATTGACTAGCTTCAGGGCAAGGGTTGGAGGAGGAGGGGTCAGCGCAGCTGTCTCCAGACAGAATGCTAGCAGGTACCATTGTTTCTTTGTTGAACTCAGCAAGTGGGCACCAAACCTGGGCTCTGTCCATTAACTTGACTAACACAGTTTGCCCTGACCTGGTGATTCCCTGAGACCCTGCCACATCCAACTCCTTTGCTGGCCCAAGCTGCCTCCAAAAGCTTTTCCACACAAACAGCCTGCCTTGACTTCCTCTGCAGACTTTTCTAAAACCTCTCAAAGATCCACAAACCCCAAACAAGCACTGGCTGCCCTAAGTGTGGCCTATACCTCTTGCTGAGTGGCCCCAAGACAGTGCAAGTGGCGACCAGTCTCAATTTGCATCATAAATTCCACCAGGTAGCCCCATACGTGTCTAAGCTGTGGCCAGTGTTGGCTTGGAATGTAGCTTCAACTAAGTGGCCACAAGCCTGGCACAAGTGGCAGCTGGCCTCAGCTCACACTGTGGTGCCCATCAAGGATCCCAAGCCCAGCACTAGTGGCAACCAAAAGTAAATCACTTGGTAGCTCCAACCAGGTGGCCCCAAGCAGGGCACAAACGGTGGCCCACCTTGGCTTGCACCAGAGCCCCTTTCAAGAGGCTCAAGAATCAGCACATCTGGTAGCTTTCTTCAGATCATACCAGAAAACCAGCCAACCAGCTCTACAAATGACACATCTGAAGGGCGGACTCCTCTGACATCAGAGACCCATTAAAGCGACTCCTACTCTGTGAGAGTAACAGCTTATCCGCTAGGCCAGCCCTCACAGCCAATCAGTCTAAGGGTCAGTCCCACCCACTGACATGCCTACAGTAATCAAGGCTTAGCTACAACAGGAAGGCACACACAACCCACACAAGGGATGCTTCTGGAGCACCTGGCTCAGGTGACCAGGAAGACAGTGTTACTAGGCCTCACAGGATATTTGCTACATAAGGTCACTCTGCCAAGATGGGCACATAGCTGATGTATGTAACATGTAGACACAAGCACAGGAAGTTAGCCAAAAGAGGAGATAAAAAACTTGTCTCAAATGAAAGAACAGGACAAAACTCCAGAAAAAGACCTAAATAAAATGAAGGCAAACAATCTACCAGATAGAGTTTAAAACACTGGTTATAAGGATGCTCAATAAACTTAGGGGAAGAACAGATGAACTTTGTGAGAACTTCAACAAAGCAATAGAAAACATAAAAAAGATAGAAAATATTATAAAAAATTCAGTCATAATTGAAGAATACACTAACTGAAATGGAGAATACATTAGAAGGATTTAACAGATTAGACAGAGCAGAGGATCGAATCAGCCATCTGGAAAATTAGGGAGTGGAAAATACCCAATCAAAACAGCAAAAAGAAAAAAAGGGGCCTCTGGGACAACATCAAACATACCAACATTTGCATCATAGGGGCACTAGAAGAAGAGAGAGCACAGGGATTGAAAACCAGTAGACATACAAGTCCAGGAAGTGCAGAGTCCCAAATAAAATGAACCCATAGAGGCCCACAGCAAGACACATCATAATTAAAATGCCAAAAGTTAAAGACAAAGAGAGACTTGAAAGTAGCAAGAGAAAAGCAGTTAGTTAACTACAAAGGAGCTACCATAAGACTGTCAGCTAATTTCTCAACAAAAACTTTGCAGGGTAGAAGGAAGTGGCCCAAATATTCAAAGTGATAAAAAGCAAAGATCTTCAACCAAGATTACTCTACCTAGCAAGGCTATCATTTAAAATTGAAGAAGAGATTAAGAATTTCCCAGACCATAAAAAGCTAAAGGAATTTATCACCACTGAACCAGTATTACAAAAAATGTGCAAGGGACTTCTTTAACCAGTAAAGAAAAAGTAAAAATATGAATAAGAAAACAGGAAAGAAAAAAAAAATTCAATGGTAATGGCAAAAACTTAGTAAAAGCAGTGGATCAACCAAGTATAAAGCTAATTACAAAGGTTAGAAGGCCAGGTAGGAAGACCATGTGTAATTACAACAATAAATTACGGGATACACACAAGCACACACACATATAAAAGAAGTAAAAATAATAACAAAAACATAAATGTGGAGGAGTAAAAA